TGCACACGCATACACTAAACTTCGTTCGTACCGCGGCTGCACGCGCATGACTTAATTAGACTCAGACTCAGATCAACGTATTTGAAATTTCCTTTCTCTACCACTCTTTCTCTCTTCCTCTCTCACTCTCTCGAGAGTATAATTTTATATTTATAATATGTATATATATATATATATATATATGTATGTATGTATATATACATATATATAATATTTATATACTGTATTTTTATACTGTATATCGACGAGATTTCGATTATTTGCAAAAGTATGAAACTCTACGGAGCCTCGGCACCTCGGCGCCTCGGAGATCTAGTGACGAAGTTGCTTCTCTTTTATCTCCTCCCTCGTTTCTGCTAAGACCGGCACCCGCTTCGATTCACCCGCACTATTTTCTTTTCGCTATTATGATTATTTATTATCGACAGGGCGCACGGTGTCTCACAATATAATAACGCTTTCAATGCTCGTTTATGCTAATTATGTATATGCATATGTATAACATGTGTATATGCGGGTGTCTCTTTACGTGTACATATTTATATATGTATACTATACGTATGTGTATATATACGCGTCTCTATGTTATATTTATATATTTATATATGTATATAGATAAGTAGAAAAACTTAACGATAATTCCTCGCTTCCTCCGTTCTCACGTGCGACTCTATCTCACTCGTTCGCTAAGACCACTCGCGTCACTTCTTTTTAACTGGTTTTACCTTAGCGTATATAAATAAATACAAGAGTAAGTGAAGTCGTACGTGTGAGAGAGAAATTCATTTATATATATATTCCTTTCTCTCTCTCTCTCTCTCTCTTTTTGCCTTTCTTATTTATATATTTATATATATACTATATATATATATATATCGGTCGAGCAACGATTCCATAAAATCTCTCATACTAACCCAACGAAAGTGTATGTTACGTTCGTTCCACCTGCGAACCGAGTTGAATAATTCTTTTTTTTCCATTTACTTCTCACTTTTTCGTATGCAACAAAATGGATGCACCATTGTGTCGTACTTGTTCGCGAGTTTGTCTGCTTCTCTGCATTTCACTGTGTGGATGTGTGTGTGTGTGTGTATGCTTGTGATGTAGTACGGTGTGTATGGTGTGAGACCTTGGTATATTCTTACTTTATATATGTATATATATTTATAATCCACGTGTGCGGAGTGTCCACGTGTGTTGTCGGCGGCGATTAACGAAATATCCGGAAAGTGTCGCTCGGCTCTCTCGTTCATCCACCTGCCGGCTCTTGCCCCTTTTTGACCGATCTTGGTGTAGCTCTCGTTCGGACGTTAAGAACATCGCGAGCTTCCGCGGTGTCGTCGTAACGCGATTCGACTCGTTAGCCTGTCTCTTTGTCTTTCGCTTTCCTTCCTCGTTACCGTTAGTTCGTTTTAATATCACTGAAAGTCCGACGATGCGTCGGAGGCTCGCGTGATCGCGCTTCGATCGGATAACGTGTCGCGAAGTTGCGTCCGACAATCGCACGACGAGTGCAATCACGGTAATTAGGGAAAGTAATTATTAATGTCTATTATTGTTGTGTTAGTAATTACGCAGGATACGCGCAGGAGCCGCGACGCTCGCAAGTAAAAAAAGTTACCGATATCCCGATATTTTATGAAGTGACTTTACGGAGGAATCGTAATTTCTTCTTTGTTAATTATTATCGACGACGCTGATTGAATTTCGGAAACGGAACTTTGCTTCGCCACAGTTACGTTACATCGAAACGATAACGCGACGCCTTCGAGGATCGCTCAGTCGCGTCGAGACGAGATTGGACATTGTGTATCTATTAGCGCGTTACTTTAGTACTTTTCATGTTTCCTCCTAACACACATACGCATTACGTTTCGTATTTAACGACAACGATGATCTTGCCAAGTACTTAGTTAGAGTCTTTTATTATCGCCTGCCACAATGGATACCGTCGAAGATGAATCGTAGAGTCGTTATTATTATTTATTATTATTATTATTCTTAGTTTATATTATTTTAGTTTATTATATTCTTAGTTTATTATATTAATATTATTGTTATTATGATCCTTATCGGTATTATTACTATCATCATTAAATATTTTTCTCACCGTCATCATTATTATTAGTAAAATTATTATTAGTATTATTATTACACAGTCATTTTTTGCACGACTGCAATCGTTATCAGCGTTAACGACGTTATTTTGTTGCTAAACATAATTTAACGGTTTCGTCGAGTGTTCATTTTTTAATTAGCATTTTTCAAGCTGTAATTACGTTAATGTTTGTGTTTGAGATTACGTTACGTGTTACGTTTACGTTTTTAGTTCATCGCTTGCGAGTTTGGTCATCCGCTTGTCCTCTTTATACGACGCTAGATAGTTCGTAAGATCGCAAGTTATTCTCGAGTTATCCTTTCACGCACGTACGACACTTTATTCACGTGTACATTGAACGGCATACCTAATATGCGCGCATGCATTCTCCCTTTCTCTTTCGCTCTCTCAGCCCTTTCGCTTTTTTCTGCCTTTTACACACCATGTACGCCATCGATTCTCTTTCACGCATTCTTCTCGACCCGCATTTACACCCTACGTCTAACGATAATTCTGCTCTTAACCAATTGTCGTTTCATATTTGAATGTATGTATAAAAAAAAAAGTCAATTTAGATACCTTCGTTTGAAACGTTTCATCTTGCGAATTTCCAGATTGACGATCACTGTCACGGAACACGATCTCTCAACGTCACACTTCGAACGAAGCAAAACAAATGCGGATAACGATGATATTTCGCGTTAAAGGCGACGCTAAGCAAGGGTGTGAATGCGGCTCTGTCCCTTTCTCGCTATTAATATAAACACATTGTTTTCGTGACTGCGGGATCGTCTATCGACGCGACCGTATCGTCGGACAGGTTGAGATTTTTCGGGTTTATCACAGAGAAAAACATTTTTATGAATATTTAATCTTATACTTCACCGCGTATACACGCACGCACGCATACACACGCGCGCGCATCGTAATATTCAACTTCATCGCGATTTTACGCGATCTCCGCGCGTAGATTGTTGTCGATCCAAATTTGTCCCGCGACATTCGCTAATACCGGCCTGTGAGTAATCGCTTTCTCTCGAGACCAATTGAATTTTTATAATCGTTTTTAAATGCAATTCCCATGTAAAATTGATATGAAAAAAGAAAATTTTCCTTCTAAATTTCTCTTTCCAAGAGGATTGTAAAGAGAAATTTTCCTTTAAAATTGCTTTATAAATAAAAAAGAAAAATCTTTCTTTCTAAATTTCATTTTCGATTCTCGAAGTTTGAATAAATATCTATATCTCATTTATTTTACTCGAAAGATAAGACGAGAGAGAAAATATACAATTCAACGGAGATAATACGCGGGTCCGTATTAGCGAATCGCGATGTAACGTTCTTCCTCTCGTTCCGCGTTCCCACTAATTATAATAATTACAGATTCCTTTTAATAGCGACGTTTACACATGACGATACGATTGAGTTTTTAACGACTGAGTTTTTAAAGCACTTAAGGGAAGAAATCACGCGATTCTGATTACGCGTTACTAGAGATGCGCTCACGAGATCCTCGGTGATTCTCTCGAAAAGAAGGAGAGTATTTTTACGTTCTTCACGTTATCATACTTTTTGTATATTTTTTCTACTATTTGGTTTATTTCATTCAAGTGTAATTTTTCTAGATCTGTAAAATAATCGCGCGTCATCGAGAGAGGATATCAAATTCTACTACTGCGAACAACTTCGATGATGGACACCGTTATCCGTTCACCAAGGATCTTTCTGCGTGAATCACACACCGGAAAATCACTCATTCTCTCTTTCTCTCGTTCTCCACACCATTCTCTCGCTCTTTCCTCAGTTTCGCTTGCGCATGCACACGTATTCTCGAATTAGCTACTTACATTAATTAATTTCGTTACGTAGTGGCAACATTCTCGTTTATTTTGACTTAGTCGATACACGAAAATTATGCAAACAAGCGCAGAGCAGCGTCGGAAACCGATCGAAGTACTCGTCGGAGAAACGAAGTAAGTCGGTCCAATCTGTCCTTCCATTCGTACTTTCCCTTACTTTTAACCTGTTCAGCTTTGACGTTGAAATGAAACGTGCGTACGAAAATTAAAGGAGGATAAAATACTTGTGAAATAAAAGCGGCTTGTCATCGGCCGATCCAATTAATTACGTATTGGCCGACTTACTCAGCTTCCCGAATTCACCGGTTCAATTACTCGCGTATTCCACTCGTACATTCGTCCGATTCCTCTCGCTTTCTCTCTCTCCCTTTCGTTCACCGAATATATGTACATTTACCTACGTACAGACATATCGTATATCCATAACGTGTTGCAAGAAAAAAAAATGACGTACGCTTATGTACACCTATGTATTCTCATGTATGTCTTTCGGCTTAAAACACCTCATACGATTGGCAGTATGTTAATGTTTTTTTTTTATATTTAATATAATGTGGTTGTTAGCTTTAGTTGTAATCTCGTTTCGGACACATGTGTTGCAATTTAGCAAGCCCTCGTTTGCGGATATAATTCTCTCGACCTATCACCCCGTTCTTTCTCCACCTATTATGCTTTTAATTCCACCGTACATTGTTTAAACGAACGTTCTTCAATGATTCGACGGCGAATCAGGTTCTCTTTCCACGAAAAAACCTCGAGTTTCGAATTAACTAATGACGTAAATTGATGTTCCACGTTCGCGTGTTTCGATAATTAGCACACTTAGTATTACAGTAATGATAGTAACAGCACTAGTAGCGACGATAGTAGTCGGTAGAATAGTTTTGTAATAGTAGTAGTAGTAGTAGCGGTAGTAGTAATAGTAACAGTAGTAGTAATAGTAGTGTAGTAGTTGTTGTAGTAGTTGTAATAGTGATAGCAGCAGCAGCAATAGTAGTAGTAATAGTAACAGTAGTAGTGGTAGTAGCGGTAGTAATGGTAATAGTAGTAATAGGTAGTAGCAGTAGTTAATAGTTAGTAATAGTAATAGAGTTAGCTGTTTCTTCTTCTTCTTTTCTGGTAGGTGTTGTTAGTAGCAACGGTATTAGCAGTGTTGATAGTATAATAAGTATCGTAATTCAATTATGCGGTAATTTATACAAGTGCTTGAAAACCGTGTGGGGCAGGTAAGAATTGTTTATCTCTCCTTCTCGTACATCCTGTACCTTGGTGTCTTCTATATTTTCCCGTTCGCTTTCTCCCCTTCGCACTTCTCTTCCCTTCTTCCTCTTTTTCTCTCTTCTTCACACGTCTTTCCCCGTCCCCCTGACGATGCTCGCGACGATCGTTCTCTCCCTCCCCGCGTACGACGTGCGGTGTCTCATCCCGTCTACGCACCTTCCCCTCGATCGTAGTCCTCTTTTGCTTGATTCTTCTTTTGTTGTTTTGTTTGAAGTTCCCCCTCCCCCCGATTACTGATTGGCACGAATCGCGAGGCAGCATCCGCACGAATCAATGATTTCGCGAGTTTAGTCTCGCCTTGCCGATCTCTCCTGCCGCTATCGATAAGCAATAGATAGCGGTCGAAGAGTTTTTGCTCGAAGTAACGTCAACGGAACGTCGCCTTGCGTGTATAACGTTAATATAACGTCAATGTGCGACTTCTAGCCCCTTTAAACGCTGTTCGGCGTGATTCGACGGTATTACACGACTTATTGTATTTTTCCCTAACTCTATTACAGCTATCCCTGTATATATCTCGTGATCTTGTGAACTTCCTCTCACACGGCGTAAGAGAAATTTTAGAAGTTTCGCGGTTTTTCTTTCCTTTTAATATTCGCCAATTCGCCAGAACGCAACGCGATCACGTTCGACGTGAATTCCGGAGTCTCGTGTGACCAACTATCGATTTATCCCCGTTAATTTTACGCTTCGTCGACTTCGCCGATACCGCGAATTTTCTTGAATTTTTCTTTACTTTCCCCTTCATCCGCACACGTGACGTGCAGCCACGAATGATCGCGCCGATGTCGACCCACGTGGCTTCTCCATCTCGACTTCTACTCTCTACAAATAACGCGCCTAATATAATTAATGCCAACGCCGATCTCGCGAGCGCGTTCTCGCCTCCTGGAACGAGTTTTCCATATTGCGAGCCTACTCACAAGAACCGCAACTGCGAGCGGTCGATATCGCGCAGCGACAGTTCTTGCGCGTCCTTCCCTCTCTCCGACTAGCGGGGCGATTTCCGATCTTCGGTGCTTCTCTTTCTAACTTGTTTTGTTTTTGATTAAAGTGTTTCCTCACGCGACTTCGCTAATGGCAGAATGGAGCTACTGAGTCCCGGTAGAACAGTTTGGATTCTCTCTCCTGTACGATTGTTACGCGTTAAGAGGGTCAACCCTTGACTTCCACTATTCCTTGCCTCGGTCAGGGTCTCTCTCTCTCTCTCTCGCCGGGCGACTCGTCGGGAAACGCTCGCTCTCGTTCGTCAGTCCGTTCTGTGTAACGCGGCGAGGTTTCCCGACGACCCGCTTTTGACGAACATTCCTACAGCGAAGGGAAAAGGGGGAAAGAACACAAAATGTTTCTCAAAGTCTCGAAAAGGAGCCTTGGCCTCGCAGGGCCGACAAAATGGCGGGGCCCGACGAGTCGCGTCGCGCGTTCTATATACTCTTCTACTTCTCGAAATCGTGTCGCCCTGCCGTTCTCCTCATCTTACTCGGTTCAATCGATCAGCTACCCTGAATCAACGTCGTCGTAGGAACATCGCTGATTACCGACGTCACCCGCACGGAGGTGGAACGATTCGACGCGTCAGTCGCGAATATTATCGATGAATCTCGCAAGGGAAGGGGTTTCACACGCCTACGTCATGCGTACCACTCGTTCATCCGTTCGTTCGCACGCACGCACACACACACACACACACACACACCCCGTACACGCAGCAGTAGACACACGCACACGTAAGAGAACGTTTGTGGTGATCACAGTGCCCGATTCGGCCGTTCGACGAGTCTCTCCTCCGGAAAATCGTATAAAAAGTGGATCTTCCCCGGCGAACTCCTCGATCCATCGTCGGCCGATCGAGGCGCGAGGGAAGATGCTGAAATATCAACTCACTCGTATGGTCGGAGGGTTCGAGCTCTCGCAAACGTCCGCTTTTGTCCACCTCGTCCACTGTCGACCACCACCACCGCCGCCACCATCACTACCACCACCACCGTCAACTTGTCTCTCGATGTAGCTGTCGCGACCACACCGCTCTTCCGATCGCTCCGCCGTTCGTCGCCCGCACCACCGAGCGACATCGAGCGTCCCCGACGACCGGCGATCGATTGGGCTAATCGCGATCGTGGCATTCATCTCTCCACGACGCTCGGAAGATCGCCCGGGCCGGGTGATCGTTGTTATTAGTCTTGCTAAATTCGATTTCCTAGTTAGACTGCCGAGTCTTCGCCAAGCTCGGCCGGTTTGATTGCATCTCGATCGGAACAGCCGCACATCGCACTCTTCCTCGTCCGCGTGCGACGTCGCCATCCAGTGATTGACCTACTCTTGTCGACTGTCGGACGGGTGGATCGACTTCTCGTTGTTGTCGTTGATAAAGTTGCCGACCCTGTTCGGCCGCCGTGTTCAGTCTCCTCGGATCGACGTTGGTCTCCCCGCGCTCAACGATTCATTTCCGCCTTCTCTCCTTTCGGTCGCGCTGCCGGAACACGCCGACCGGAATTGCCGCCCCTGCGCGGTACCGCACGGCTGGTCATGGCCGTCGGGAAACCGCCGGGGTTTCAAGGCTTTTCCATTGCCCTCGAGTGCACACCGCGGAATCAACGCGTGTCCCATTTGGACAATTCATGCGCAAACCCTGAGACGCCTGGGGGCGTCCACGTCACCGGACCACCGTCCAGGGTCCCACTTTGGCTAGCACCAATCGTCCTCGTCACTGTCGGAATGCCGCGACCTGCGGAAGAAATCCTTCGCGGTCAGTCAAACGCAACGCTTTTCAATCTCAGTGAATATATTACAAGGATTTCTTCATTACCTGGGCGTTCTCTGTTTCGACTGCGGCTGCGGCTTGTAGCCGTTCGGCACTGGGCTGGGTAACATACGGCCCATCCCGCCGCGGCCCATCGCGACCGCCTGCTCGAAGCTGAGCGGTCGCAGGTGGCCCATACCCGGCTGCATGTGCGGTGGCGACGGATGCTGCAGCATACCTGATGGCACCGGCACATGCGGCCCCATGTGCGGCCCGTGAGTGGGCGAAGCGTTCAGCTTGGGGAAGTTGATGCTGGTCGGCTTCAGCTGCAGGGTCGACGGCTTGCTCGGCGTCGGCGGCAGCTGGCGACCCTGACCCCTCCTGGCCACCAGCACCGGGTAGCTGTGTTGATGCGGATGATGGCGACGACGATGGTGATGTGGGTGACCGCCGATCGGGCTCGGGCTCCTCGACCGTTGCTCCAGGCTGGTCGTACCGTAATGGCCGCGGTCTATCCGGTGAACCGGACTCGGCGACCTCGCCGGACTCGTCGAGGCGCTCCATGGACCTAACGGAGACGCTGGGTTAAAAGGACGGTCGCACACTTTGCGCGTGGACAAATAGTTCCGGTAAAAGGGTGGCTCGAGTACAAGCGGTGTGTTGATAAGGCTGTTGAGAAGCCGTTCAGGGTAGAGACGATGATCGTTCGGCGATTCTCTCCGTTCACGATCGCTTCGATCAGCGCGGGATGCGTAGTGGAGCCTCGGATATATCTAGAGCGGCAGTCTCTTTCTCTGTACGAGAGAGCCGAAGACTTCGGAAGAGGAGAAGAATGGTGGAGGATGAGGAGAAGAGAGGGCAAGCTCTATCGCGCAATTAACCCTCTATAGGGCCGGTTCTTTTTTCCCTTTCTCTTCCACGGAGGGGAGAACGACGGCTGCATCTGTTAAAGATCATCTCAACGAGGCGTAATAACGTTCGTGTGAGATTCCTCGGCTTCTTCGCGCTCTTCGATTTGTGTGAGATGTGGCATAAATATATGTTTCCTCCGGACAAAGTATAATAATAATGACACCGCGAGCATGTATACTGATTCGAGAAAATCATAAAATCCGATAGAGGGTTAATGGAGCATGCTTCGTGTGCTGCTTCGTGATGCTGCGAATAACTCGAACCAGTGCTGCAAGACACATGTCCAGGTGCCGGTGCTCTCAATCGAAATTCTAAAAGGCGTCTAATACAGCATGCACGAGATACTACTGAGAGAGAGTGCATCATTTCTATATGGATAAGTAACCCGCGACATGATTGTCGCTTTCTAACGCGATCAAGATACGCAGACACACAACTCCTTTGCGCGCAAACTACGCGCGTGAACCGATCAGCCATGTCATATCACTGTTTTAGAGCCAACAGGTTCAATTGCTTGCTCGTGCCAAACATAAAGGAATCTAGTCGCGTCTTCCGAGCTACATTCGCGTCGGCAACAATCCGTCCATAAAACGTGAACAGATCATACTCGAGAATCAGTACAGACCTTGCAGTGCTCTACGAATTGCCTAGTCTACTCTATATCTTCATTTCTAGATTCGATCGAACTAAGTAAAGACAGCCTCTTCTAATATAAAAAGCATCGAATGGCGAAAACAAGAAGAAACGCGCGAAACACGCGGAGCATCGGTGCTGGTTGGTGTGAGACATCGGTTTGTTCGGATTGGTGGGTCTACCGTGTGTTTATATCGGTAGTGTGATGGTAGTGGTGGTGGGTGTCTCTTGCGCGTGTCATTGCAAAAAACAGGAACGAAGAAACGGTGAAAGCCAAACGTTTGTTGATTATCATTATCGTAAACACCATAACTGCCGTGGACAAGGGAATGAAAAGGAGTTGCGAAAGAAATTACCATCGTCGTAATAGTCGCAGTGGTCGTAATAGTCTGTGTAGGCGCATAACAGAACAAAACGAAGAAACGTATTACATCGAGTCACACAGAGCCTCTGCTTCTTACGAGTAAAAACCATTTATAGCAACATTCATGTTCTTAATGAACCGTGACTACGAACTCTCTTTCGCTTTGCTTTTTCGTTAAAATGGTGCGCTAGAATTTCAACGACGCTACGTTGCAGCGATATGATGCGCACGACGCGCGCAATGCTGCCTGTCGTAGTTAATTCCAAGACCAAGAGAGACAACAGAGTATCACCAAGCCGGTTGAAAAGATAATATATATAATTATGTATATAGAGTAATATTTATAATGGAAATAACACCAAAAATATGAAGGTGTCAGTGGTACGGTGGCAGAATAGGTACAAAGATGCTGTGTTCGTAGTAAATTCTAGGCTAATCAAGACAACGAGAGAAACCGGTTGGAGATGATCGACACGAAACAGAGTTTGCAGTCGTGGCCTCGTGAAAAAGACTTATCGTTGCACCGTGGCTTTCGCTGGCCGGAATTATCGCCGGTACGTCGTACCTCGTATCCTATGTCGATGATTATACTGTGACGAATGGGGATGATGAGTGTGCCTTTGAATCTCGACGACGTTGCTAACGGTGTCGCTAAACCCTGGTCCTTCGTGGTAGTGAGCGTGATGGTCGTAACGATGTCGCCTCGGCGATGGCGACCTATGCATTATTGGCGAAGGTCTTCTGCAAATTGTAATAACAACGAAACGGCTCACAACTGTAGCGATCCTGTTGTGATATAAGCCGGCTGGTCATGACGATCGATGTCATCGTCACTTCGGTAATGATCAAAAAAGTCTGGTATATTCAACTTTGCATAATTTGCGTATCGAATGTTACCCTTGTGCTCCTTGTTTTACAAAATACCATTGCAATAACGTTGTGATATCTTGCTTACTGAGTTACCACGTAGTACAACATACCGAGAATAAACAAAGGCGATAGTGCATTTTGAATGTCATCGCTAAATTTCGACTTTTTAAAACATCATTATTGCGAATACCTTATGCTTGGCGATCGCGAACGATGTCTAGGAGGAGGCGCTGAGGGATGATGCGGATGAAGCCTCTCGCCGGCATGTGTGAGACTCTCGAGACTACCGGCACGCGAGTCATCTACTACGACGTCTTGCAGCTCCATCTAAACGAACAGACTTATGATTGAATAATTTGCCCACGGACACGGCAGGGTCGGGATTTGAAGGAGAGTCGGGGTGTTGCCGGTTCTTTGTCTTTAGCAATATCATAGCTGACTCGCGCTCCGAACAAGAAACTATCGTAACTCGAGACGCCTTTTGTCTCCGGAAGCAGACGCACCCTCAAATCGTTATTTCAATTCTGAAGAATCTACTGGATTCGGAGCAATGGCACAACTTCAAGGTCTCGTCGATTAATTTTGCGCTGGAGAAAAACCAATGGCGATCGACACAGTATTTTGATTCGAGTCGTGCGATCTGATTCGCTTCGGTTCTCAGCGTATACTTTCGTAATTAGAATAGATTTAGCTTCGCAGAAAACAGGAGAAATTGATAAGGCGGAACGAGAGTGGTTCATATCAATAGAGAAAGAGAGAGAGAGAGAGAGAGAGAGAGAGAGAGAGAGAAAGAGAAAAAGAGAGAGAGAGACAGGCATACAATGTGCGCGCGCGTATAAAACGGCATGCAATTAAGAAAAAGTCTCTCGCTCATGCACATGCTCGTAGAGTAGATCGCTCGGTTGGACGACGAAGAAGGAAGATATCTACTACCTTCGAGACAAGAGTCTGCTGCTGCGCAGAGAGCTGCCTCTTGCTTACTTACCGGGATGTGGGATACAACGAATTAAGACAAACGCGCGAGCCGACGGGATGACAGCCGCGAGAAAATTGATCGCGTCGATTATCACGTCACCCCGTCGGCGATCCTAAGGTCGAAAGCAGCGAGGGACAAGGGTGGGAGCTGTCTCTAGCATTGACACGCAGAAATCACTAAAGTAGCGTTCGGGTTTCTATTCTCTAGAGTGATCTAAATTTGCTCTAGAGTGTGTGTGTGTGTGTGTGTTTCTAGGTGTGTGAAAGTATTATTTATACAGGAGAATACTAACACACTCAACGAGAGAGAGAGAGATTAAGAGAGGAAAATCAAGATCGATTCGGCGCGATTCTCGGAAGCGAGAGAGACGTCTCCGATGTTCACGAGTCGATCTTGAGTCTCAGGGAATCACAACATCACGCGCAATACTTTCCGAAAGATCAACAACGACGGAATAAATTGTTCTCGGGGGTCACGCAGAGAAGTTGAACATCGGGTTAACGGAAAGAACATCGATTGACTTGTCTAAGACGGTTCGACCTGATCACACAGCTGTTTCCGATCAGCCTAAGGATTCCGACTGATTTCCTCCGAAAGCTAATATCGATCTGAATTTATTAAAAGACACCTGTTCATTCATCTAAATCTTAGCAAAACTTTTCCTACGAGAGATAATCGCATTTTCTAATAACACTCGATATTAGATCTAACTCAGGTGATACAATCAATACTAAGCGGACAACATCCTAGCCTAATTCTGATTCTAACAGGACTATCCTCTCGCGGTAAAACCATGATTTGCGCAAACCATGTCCTAATCTAAACTCTTCAAGTACAGTGTAACGATCTACGTAATCTATTCGTGTGCAGGGTGCTTCTGAACTGAAAATTTTATAATCGATCGACATTCATACCGTCGTTTTATTTAGCCAGATAAGGATTAACCCGCTTTGTTGTGTGAAATTTGTCAAAGTTACTCTCTTCAATCGGCCTCGCTTTTGGAATTGAAACTGTAGTCAGTTTGCATTCTGACAGGAGAACGTCAACGTCCTGAGGAGAGCGAGGGTCTCCTTCGCTCAGAAACACCTTGCGAACTACACAACTAGCTAGACGTATCTCATATACAGCGTTTCGACTGGATCCGTGCGCGACTGCATCCCGAGCGAAACAACGTGGACTCGTCCGGTTAATTCTAACGCGATCTACTACCGTCAGAAGGGTTAAAAGGAAGAGTTAACTCTCGATAACGAAGGAAAATAATGTTCTCATTTGTTTTTACTGCGGAGCTTGGACCGAGCCGACACCTTGTGGTAACGGATCGAGGAGCGAGGTGCGTAGGTGTTCTGGTGTTGGTAGTACGAGGGTGGTCGGTAGTCATGATGATGATGGTGATGGTGGTGGTGGTAGTGGTGATGGTCATAGTATTGATCATTGTCGGTATCGTAGTATTGGTCGTGATGGTGATGGTGGTAGTAGTTGTTTTGATCCCGCTGGGAGGGCACCTCAGCCAGCAATGGCTCTAGCTCGGGGGCGCGATCCTCGCCATTAACTACGAGTACAACCCCAGACCCACCCCCTCCCTGGCTACTCTCTCCGCTGCTGCCTAGTATATCGTACTGGCGAGACATCTTCCAGTTCACCTTTTTGTTTCTGAAATCAGAAAAACCATCGTCGTGTGCTCATCAGTGTGCATGGCGAAATGTGATACAACACGAAGGAGCTCGACAAATCTGTATTGAATGTTTTTTATCCTGCCCGGAATCATCTCAAAATCGACGTCAAAAAATTCCTCCCCTTAAAAGAATATGAATAATTTGGAGATGTATTTCCTTATGTGCTCTTCTTTTTTTATCATTAATAGACGTACCTGATGCTACGCTGACGTCTATGCTCGGCGGCTGCGAGGACACCTAGGGCCCCTTCTTCCTCATCTCTGTGCTCTTTGAGTCGTTCGTGCTTGGTATCCGTGGCCGGTCGCGTCACCGGTTCGAGGCTGTTCGCCCTACTTCCGGTTCCGTGATTATTTCCGGTGTGATTTACCGCCGCCATGTCCAGCAGGCAGTTGTAGAAGGCCGATTGCTAAATTCGAACGTGCGAAAGCACACCGGCTATCAGAGCTGATCGACTGGGTGAGCTTGGTTCGGTTCGACAATTTCTTTCTTTCGTTTCTTTCTTTTATCTATCGTTTTTTTTTGTTCTTTGCGCTTTTCTTTGCAATTTCCTCGTTTTTTTTTAGTCCCCTCCGCACACGACACACGCATATAATAATAATAAGTAAATTAAATATATACAGGCACATACAGGCTTTTTGTTTTGCTTTTTTTTGTGCGTTACCTCTCGTCGATGATCTCTCGAAAAATCGTGGTTCGTAGAATGCAAGTACGCTCAAAGATCGGAAGCATTCAAGAGAATCATGAGTCAATCAAACGGTACGAAAAATACGGCGAGAAAGAATTTTCAGAGTAGAGAGGCGAACATGCTAAGAAAAGAAAGAATGTCGTGAATAATGGTGCGTTACACTAATGTAACCGACTCTCAAAACGGGCTAACTCTCGCTGTCTCCAGTTGTTCAAGAGAGAGAGAGAGAGAGAGAAAGAGAGAGAAAGAGAAAACGTGTTGTGAGAGTAGTAGTACGATAACTGCAAAAGTAACAGTAATAGTAGTAATAATAGGCGCAAACGTCGCAATCGCAGCGAGGCAACTTTTGGCAAGAGTATATATATTGCATCGCGGAAAGCCTGTATATGTTGATCGGGACTATGTTATACGCACACGAAAGAGGGAGAAATACGTGAATTCCCCTCCTTCCGCGCACGAGAGAGTGTCGTGAGAGAGCGCAAATGCGTTAGTAAGTAGTAGACGCGATTGATTGGTCTTAAGAAATGTAACATTACTGCAAAAATGCAAAATCGTTAGTAAGCATGCAGAAAACCAGAAGTGCGCACCGTCGGTGCTCCACCACGGCTGTGTTGCCTTGCAAATGTTCGTCGATTGTATCTTACGATAATTTCAAACACGTCGCAATGTTCGTGCACCAAGGAAAAGTGCTGTAAATTCGATCGTCCTCGTGGGAAGCGAGAATGGAACATGGACGGTTCGCTCTTCGTAAAGACCATACATATATGTGTGTATATATATATATATATATATNTATGCAAAAAACGGGTTTGTGTAATAAAATACACGCAAGCTAGTAAAACACAATTAGAGAGTAAGGTTTCCACGCGAAGTTTACTGTTCCGTACGACAGGGGGGCGTCGAACATTTGCGCGACTCTGGAATACCGTCGTGATACCGTATTTAAATGACGAATTTAAGCGAGAATCATTGTGGATGATTATCCGTGCACGCGCAACCAGTAAGCGACGTAATCGTAAAATAAAATAATAAAATATGAAAGATATGACAGGCGGTATTCCAGAGTCGAGGTACTTGGAACATGCCGCTGTACGAGGTGTCCCGAAACCGATGACGCGCTCGTTTCGTTCCGAATCGTCAAATTAATTAAAATCGTGACAAAATATTCACCCGGCAAGAAATTACGCTGATTTACAAGGTTTCTGTTTCTCAACATCTAAATGGCGATTTTTATGTATTTTTGTCTGCTAAAGATGAGTCCGTTTTTTAAATTTAACTATCACGTCGTAATTTTGAGAAAAATGGCAGCAAAAATGTCAAAAACGACACCATCGTTTTGTTTGTCTTTTTTTCTTTTTTTCGAGACACTCCGCGTACGTTGGGTCGATGAGTTGTCGGGTGCTAAATCTGTAAAACGGGAACTGTATCTATCAATGAACACTGAGAGAATGCAAAAAATGCGAATCTTACTCGTTCTTCATCTATCAAGCTACGATAATTAATTACGAGCCGCTTGCCGCGAGAGAAATTGATTAATCATTACGTATAGGTTTTTTCTTTTTCTTCTTTTTTTCTACTTTAGAAACAACAGGTTGTTTGGAAGAAGAAGTTATCCATCGCGACCGCACAACTTGATCCGCCGAATTTTGGACGAATTATTGCTGCAGCACGAAAGTTATTATTATTCGGTCGGCATTGCCGAGAGCGATCACTCTCGAATTACCGCGAGTGTTCGTGCGCGTGTGTATGGAAAATATAGGAAGTGTCGATTGGTGTTGATGTGTGTAATTGAAAGAGCGGAGAAAAATTGGCATTCTAGTAGAAAGCGATCGGATAAGTCGGGCAAGTCTACGAGTCTACTGCTGTTGTAACCATTGGCCAAAAGAGAAAGAGAGAGAGAGTGTCTAAGTGTAATTTCTGCTACACTACTGCGGTAAGTCGCGTAAGAAACAAGAGAAAGAAATCTTCTCAGCATTAGCTAGGGGGAGCATTATTACCGATCGTCGGAGGAACGCATTATACAGGGCGTGGCTTGGATGTTCCTCGTCTACATAAAATTCACAAGTATATATTTATATACGAGATTTTGCAAAGTTTCACGTGGCATGAAGAAAGGGATCTAATTAATCAGTCGTACGCGAGATTTGGTTGTTCCGCAAAGAAATAACTATTATTCGAAACATAAAGACGAACTGCAAAATTTCTGAAAGCTGCACGGAGAAAAAAAATGTGTCGAATTAACGTGACAATGAACGAACCAAGAGCGTTTTGATTGAAGGAAAGAAAATGCCTAGTTTTTATTAACCAAATTTGGTTTGGTTTGTTCATTATGACGTTAATTCAACCAAACATTTTTTCCGTATATAAATTTTGATTCAGGTTACAGTGTAAAAACAAAAAATTAATTATTTGGTAAAACATTTCCTCGCAAACCCGTTCGCGATTAATTTTCTTCTTTACTCGATTAAAAGTAGAAGAAACGTGTGAGTTCCTCGCAAAGGTACCCAACAGTAGCAAGGGGTGGTTTCTTTTCGACGGTGTGAACTTCACGCCCAAGCTTATTCTACGAGCGCGAAGCTAAGCCGCACACAGGGCAATGTGGCTCCAACTGTTTTACCGTTCTCCGAAAGGCTCGCATTGAACTAAATAATGTCGGGAGAAAAGTTCGGTCAAACGCTCGTGTGAGCAAAACGATACGTAGTTCCGGCTGAATAAAAACAGAGCTTTCTACGTCACGATCTCTAGGATCGGTTGTCGCCAACTATAGGTGTCAATTAATTAATCGCAAGAAATATGGCTTGGCAAGAGAAGAGTGTGTGTCTATTTATCTATTTAACTATCTAAAAAAAGAAGAGGCGATTGTTCATAGAGATTGAGGCAAAAGGCAATTATGTTACGCTCGAGAATCGATCGGCTCATCGTTTCTACTTCTCGTTCTAAATAGGCTTAAGAGAAAGAAGAAGATAATAGAATAGAGTAGAAGGAGAGAGAGAGAGAGAGAGAGAGAGTGAGGGAGGAGGGAGAAAGGGAGGGGGAGAAATGAAGAGAGAGAGAGAGAGAGAGAGAGAGAGTTCTATAAGGTGATTTACTTACACACACACAGCTATATCGTATTGCCGGGACAAAGAGCCGATATCAACACGACGACTAAAACAACTCTGATAACGTATTACAATCGTATATATCACACTCGGGCGACCTCGCGGCACCCGCGAAACGAAAAAGAAAAGATGAATTCTCCCGCGTCCGACTTCTCCAGACGGAGAAGAGATCGTCCTCCCTTCGTGATATATCGATCGACGTGAGCTATTCTTCGACTTTATCCTAAACTAGCTTGGTAAGAGAGGAGAAACGTGCGATTAGAGAAAAAAAGGAAAAAAAGTAAAATCCCCTCCGGAAAAAGGCGGACTAAATGTCTAAAGGCGTCGTTTGTACGTGTATGTAGGTGGATACGGTGTGTGCCTGATTAATTTTCTATTGGATTTACTTCTCTAACGTGATAAGTGCCTAAGTAAAATAGACTAAAGTGTGTTGCCGTGTAATCTCGTCGTATGCGTAACAGCCATCGTTTTGTGTTAATTTTTCACACGTTAATACTTACATTCCCTTTCATCTTTCCCTGTGGAGTACTTCGCTTCAATGGGCTGAATTTCACGAGCTTAGGCCTCGGGAAATATGAATGCATAATTCTAACATATTGTATAATGATATATTTTCATTTTTATATTTTAGACGTGTCTATGTATCTATATGTCATAACGATGGCCGTTCCGCTACAACCACAAGAGTGTGATGTGGTCATATTAGTTGGAAACAAAAAGCTACTTTACACAAATCAAAGATAGACTGAAAGAAATCATATACGTGTGACGAGTGGTAAGAAAAATCGTGGGCAGTGTTAATTGTTTAATAAAAAAACACGTACCGGAGGCATAGTAACAAGTTGTGCATACAGTTTCATAGTTTCACAGTTTATATACAATTAAAAATGAAATTTTGAATTGACGGATTCTTTTATACGAGATACTTGATATAATTTGATAAAAAAAATTGTCTGAAATATATTACAGAAAGAAAGAGAGAGAGAGAGAGAGAGAGAAAGAGAATAAGAGAAAAAGAGAAGGAGAGAGAGAAAGAAAAAGCAATATCACAAAGACACGATACATCGTGCGTACGAAACCATAATATGCCTCTGGATGACATGTGTAAAGAGTGAAGTAGAAAAAATATCGACGTTGAAAAGTGTTATTTCACAAAAGAATGAAGCGTCTTACTGCAAAAGATTTTCCTATTCTTCGACATTAACGACTGATTTCGTCCGTGAAAAATGGCGGAACGAGGATCGCAGGAAAAGAAATCGCGGAAACTTTTGCAGTACACGCCTTCCCGATAGGAAACGAGACACGAGTGTGTTTGTGTGTGTGTTAGAATTGGAACGTAAACGTATAGCCAAACGTAAGACGGAACAGTGTTGAGAAGATAATAAGTAAGAGTAAAAGTAAGTACTACCGCCTGGGCTGCAGGACTTTGCCCAGCATTATCGTTATCGATAAGATCGTTATCGTTCTGGAAAACAAAGAGAAAAGACACAAAGAGATGATTGAGAGCTGCTGTGGACAACTTTCTGTTGCGGGGATATACTTAATAAAAAAAAAAAAAGAACAATTCGATCAATGATAAATCAACTCTTGCTGGAAACGCAATCGCTATTCTCTAGTCGACATATCATGTTAATGCGTTCAATCGCTCAAGGAATCTCGTTCTATCCCGGCGGATTTTCTAAACGGTCAATCTACGAGTTAATTCGAGTGTGTCTCTATCTATCGGAACTATTTCTATCCTACATTCCTCGAGAAAGTCTCGGACACTAAGTCTCGGGCGTCCGCTATGAGGCTACGTGTTTCGTATCACCGGAGAAAATTCCCTCTATTCGAGACTCGACTCGACGCGTGTGAATTGTCCTACCACGAAGAAGCCAGACGACAAACATTCATTCGAACTCCATTCTCAAATCGAGATCCTGCCGTTTCGATCGCTTCCGAGTCGCTTCTTTCGCGATTCAAAAGAAGGCGCGAGCGTTTTCGACGAGTCCATCCATTTGCGTGTAAATCGATTTTCACGCCAAGTTTACTTTCGGTGAATTTGAATCGGTGGAGGCCGATCAGAGAAGCCAATCGGAGATCGAACGGAAGGATCGTACTTTAAGATTCTGCTCGAAGAAACTTAACGGGAACATGTGACTAGGATCTCTCATTATTTTTACAAAGAAGAATATTCGGACTTTGCTCAACGGAAGACTCACCTGTCCAGTAGACTCTATCTGACCAAACCTCGTCGTCTTCCAACTTTCGAGTATCAGAAGGCAGACGTATATCTTACCCACGGTGAGCTTGTTTTTGCTCAATTCTGGAAGGTAGAAATCGCCATTAGGAACGTTGCTGAGCGAATCCCCCGAAGAGGAAGGAAAAGGTAGCTCACCTTCGTTCCTAGGTATCAAAAGGTCCAATATCTTTTTCGCTTGTAAAGGCCAGATACTCCTGATCGTATCCCGTAGTTCGTCATTAGCTTGATTCATTTCGTCGGCTGAAGCAACAAGTAGAAAATCGGAATTACCGATCATTCGCTCAACACTTTTCGGTTAATCGTCGAAATAACTCTAAAAAGCTTCCACGTAAGGATTTGCTAGCAGGACATCCATTAATCTATGTTAGCAAATCCTATTATATTTCTTCCAGTAAGCTATCGACAAAATTTATAGCAGATACTGTATAAAATTTGCTTCCGCAGGAAACACTCATTCAATGTATCCGCAATAAGCCGCTATAACCAATATTGGACCAATATTAGACCAATGTACCGCCAAATGAATTGTGCTACTGGGATCATCTCATCTCGCAATCTCCTTAAACGATCTCGGTACTCACCGCATCGCATTTTTATGCTGAGGTTCTCGCGTATCAGGGCGAACAGCGTGGTGGTGAAGTTGACCTTGCCGTCATCGTCCACCGGCATATTCATTCTGATGAGCTTCTTGTACGCCAGCCGGTTCGGGCACTTGTTGCCAAACCCCAACGGCGGGTCCATGTTCTTCAGCATATCGTACATCTCCGTGTAGTGGATCTTGCCGGTGGCGTTCGGATCGTACTCGGCCCAGATCCTGACGAACTCGTCGAGATGGTGAGCGCCCAAGATCGACGAGTCGCGGGTGAGGTAATCGAAGTTGTCCATGATGACGGCGACGAAGAGATTCAGCATGAGGAACGAGCAGAAGAAGATGAACGTCACGAAGTAGACGTAGGCGATATTGGAGCCGCAACTGTTCGGGTCCTGCTGCTTGTCGGCCTTCGGGTCGCACGGTCGACCCTTTATGCAGGACAGCATGATGTTCGGCCAGGCCTCGCCCGTCGCGCACCTGGTGTGAAATCGCACGGTGGATTCAGCACAGAGTGGCCGACACGCTTCGCCGTCTCGCCGATCAGGACGAGAGATCGCGCTCGCTCACGCACTTGTTGAGCTATTTTGCTTCCCAGCTGACATGCAGACCTTTCGCAAAGCGCGCTCAACATGCGGCGAGATCGTCACGGGCGTCCTCTTTACCATAGCTATCTCGGACGAAACGACAAATCCAGTTTCTCTCGTTCGCACGACTGGATTTGTCGTTCTCCTGCTAGAGACGAGAGAGCGCCGTGAACGACCGCGCGCAATCGTGTTTGGCGGTGGGCCGCAGAAAGAGGAAATCGGCTCGCAGAATTCATGCACGAGACCCAACGCTCTACGCAACACCAAAAGCGACCTAGATACTGCGAACTCAATGTGGCGAACTCAATTTCTACTCGAGGCTACTGGTGTATATATTGTTATGTTTCTTGCGCAATGTATAATCATATCATTTATGCCGTGTCGTTTAGCCTGAGTGAGTTTGCCTCTGTGCTGGATCGAGAGTGCCAAGTCCCAAAGTTTCGTAATAATAGGTGATATCGAAGCGAAAAGGCCTGCTGTGAGAATACACTCGGAAATAATACGACTCAAGCGATCCGCGGCGTCGTCGTCGAAATTGCGACATTCGCTGCGAGAGCGGCTTGCTATGAGTCGATATATCTAAAGTAATATTTCGGGCAAGACTATATATATTTAGTTAAAGATATATGTTGGATTGAATATTTTGAGAGAATTTCGATCGAGTCTAGAGGAGTTGGATTTCCAAAAAATGTTCCCACGAGCTGGAAACAAGATTCATCGATCTCCCGCATGAAACGACATGCCGCCCTCGACGCGAACGGCTCAATCCGGCCGATTACTGATCGTGGACGCGAGGATCAGTCCGCTTTCGTCGTAGCGATCGTAACAAAATCGTGATACAAAGGTAGCTGCTGCCGCGCGGTGAATACTCGTCCGATCGTTTTCGCGAGTCGCGCGAGTTGAGTCGGCGGCCATGCCGAGAAATGGCGGTGAACAAGTTAGCTAGACTCGTGGGCGTGTGTTACTTACCGAAAAAGCAGCATCAGACCTTGAATGAAGCTTTGGAAATTGTTGTGCTTGGTAATAGAAGTCTCAGGATCCAACGCGATGTTACCGAATACCTGAGACCCACAGAAAGAAGAGGGCCGCAGCCAAAAAAGGCGGGAGCGGCATTACAAAATTGCGTCACCAAGTGTCTCATCGTTCTTTTTTTTTGTTTTTTCTTTCTTATATGTACGTGTGCGCGCTTTCTCTCTTTGAATCTTTTTCAATCACGCGCTCGAACGAAATAAGTCGCGCCCCGTTCTCTCCGCTTCCCCCCTCGGTGGGTGACCGGTACTTTTGGAGCTTTCTGTATCGCTTCGCGACCGCGCTTGTGTAATGACTTCATATATTAATGACTATTAATGACTATACAGTATCTTCGTGAACTTTCTAACTACAACCTCTCACACCTGAGAACTTTCACCTTTCAACAAGTACGCGGTGCACTCGAGAGAGCTGAGGACTTGGTGATCAATTTGCAAAATACAGCGACGATTGGGGAGACTCGTAATGAGCGTCGTCGCGAAATCTTTCACAATTAAATTCTTTCTTCACGACGACTTCTCGTTCCTCTGACGATTCGCGACGAAACTTTCGCGCCGTGCAAAATCACGATTCACTTTTGCAAAAATATTTCATCGTTTTATTCCTCATATCGCCCGTTTTTACATCCGTTTCTTGCGCTCTATGTGTCTTTTAAGGACGAAGGAATACTACACGAGGATGTATGAGTATTTTTGAGAAGATTGCCCAACACTCGATTCTCAGCCAATGAGATCACGTTAATAGGAGAACATGAATGGGATATGGTCGATAACTTCTCGCAGAAATGCTGCCGTGTAATTGAATGTTTTGTTGAGACAACTGAGAACAATTGACTGAGCGGAAATCTCTTACAGGAATCTCTCGGATCCTACGACCGAATTTTCGTCTGGCCTCCAGGTAACTGAAAATTCAGTTGCGCCAACGGATTTGTTTTTCCCGTGTAAAAACGGTGAAATATTTTTGTATGAGCACCGATATATACTGTATGTGCGATAGAAAGAGTCCGCTCGATAACTCGTTCTCTCAAGTAGCACCTTGATCCAAAACTCTCTAACGCAGGCATCACTATAGATATGACTATATAGATAACTATGTGGGAACGTTTCTCTATGGGGTTGTCTAACTGGGGTGAGTCACAACAGATTAACACGTCGAGCAGCTTACTCTCGTTACAGCTCATGCCAACAAAGCAATAAGCTACCGTAGAGGTAATTTACGACGATCACGCTTTCACTTGGCGTTTTTAACTTCACGTTCGACGACGCCTCCGTCCGACGCGTAACATCTTCGACGATGCTTCGTGCTCGTCACCGCAAAAACGGCGAATCGCAGAAGGGCGAAGGAGTGCTGCTCGACTTTTCGTCTCCCACGGGGAGAGAGAGAGCGTTGCTTCAGATTTGTAGCAATCATCGGTCGAGTGAAACTGATTGATACGCCATGGAGGTGAAATTTCGTCACTCACTTTGCGCGCGAGACGTGACTGAAATCGCACCTAACGGATTCAATGACGGAGAGCTGAAGAAAATTGCTCGCTGACGTCTCAAAAAATATTTACGTTCGCTGTATCCTTATTGGAATACTTCGATCAAGCTTCAGAACGAAATCCATGGACGTCATCGTGGCGATTAATAAATAATCGCGAGATATCTGATGAAAAAAAAATGCACTCTCCGTATTTTCACGCGACCTTACCTTAGCAACCCTTCCGCGTTTACACGAACGCGTGAAGCATCGTGGAGGATCGCAACGACGAGCCAGCCGTGCTCCGGAAGTAGTTTCCTTCGCGCACGAGGAGAACGCCGAAGAGGAGACACGGTCTCTCTCTCCTCGAACGAAAGCGAGGAAGCCGTTCTCCTCGTCGGAGCAGCCGCTGGTCGGCCGGAGGTGATCTCGAACCGGCAGTGCTCTAGCTGCTCGACTCACCGAAAAAGCAACATAAGACCGGCGAAGAAGGACTGAAAGTTGTTGTGATCATCGATCGCCGTTCCCGGATCGTTCGTTATATTGCCAAAGACCTGACAACGGACAATTTCAGGGTCACTTAATGGCCAACGGGGGTCTGCCGTCACTTAAAATTCCCAATCTGCAAGGTCGCGCGTGGCAGAGAGTATCACGTGGACAACGTCGTTTCTCCCGACTCGAAACTGCGATCGTTACAAACGGCTTTCGTCGCTCTCGGGATAATAAATCCGGATGACGGTGTGATCTCTTATGAATTATGCGTCGATCTCGAAGATCACTGTGCGAATTCTTTATATATATATATATAATCAATCGGACGATAAATCGCGATCTTTCTTCCGTGAAAAGTTCTCCATGTACAAAGCTCGAAAATTTGTGTATGTGACGATTATTTTTGCGTGTGTAGTGAATCAAGTATAAATAATAGCAGTCAGTGCATATCTTTTCCTTTTTCTTTTTTGAGTGAAAACGGCTGCGATAAACTATGGCACGCAATTTCGTCCGATGTTTGTGATGTTATTGGCCAAATAGTTCCCTGAATAATTATTACGCTTCTTCAATCCTGCGCCCTACCGTTCATCATCTCCCGAAATACGCGATTAAAGAACCTATATGAGTCTTCCGAGGAATACGAAAATATATATTGAGAGGAAAAATTCATACCTGCATACCGATGATCGCATAAATGAAAAACAGCATCGCTATGAGGAGACAAACGTAAGGCAGAGCCTGAAATAAGACAGATCTTTGGTAATTTATCCTTGCAAAGAAAGGTGATTAATTAAAATTGATTAAAATTGTAGAAATTTATATAATATACAATAATATTTAAATATAAGTATAATCAATTATATATAACTTATAATATTTATTTATTTACAGGAAAATATCCTTTGATTACAAAAAAGGACCTAATGCCCACAAAAGGAGAATATCTAATCGACGTTGAGTTTAGAAATTAATAGTCAAACTAGTTTGAGGAATAAAGATAAAAAATCGCGCCAACCAAATTGCGACCGTGAAAGAAAATCAACGAACGGTGCGAGAGAAATCAGGGTGGCTTACTTTGAAGGATTGTACGAACGTCCAGAGTAAAATTCGTATCGTGTATCCCTGTCTGAGTAGTTTGATCAGCCTGGCGGCGCGAAAGAGCCTCAGGAAACCGACATTGATGAAGTTCTCCTGCAGAGGACAGAGAAAATTGCACTTAAACCCCAGAAAATGTCGACTCCTTATCGCGACCAGGATGAAGCTTCGTGCGTGCAGCGTTTCGACGTTGCGAGCCGTACGTCGACATCATCGTCGACGTGCCTTTTCGAACCTCGACGATGCACGGACGAAGCTGTGGAATTTTCTCGCGTGAAAATGAAAATTGCGCGACTCCGTTCTTCGCGGTGTGATGCCGAAGGGGATCTTACGAAAGCAAAATCACACTATTGAAGGGAAAGATACAACAGAAATGATCGGTAATAACTAATAATCGGTATATATATATGCATATCTCTCGTCGTATACGCTATAAAAATGAAAGAAAGGATCTCCTTGACAATGAACTAACTGTATCTCTGTGTTGTTAGTGATTTCGTCCCGTCAACGCGTTGTATCGTTCTCGCGCGTTAGACTAGCTTTAGATCGATCACAACGAGTCTCCGGTTCGCGTCACACAGAATGTGCCGTCGTCGCGGTGTAACAAAGACGTTAACCCTTTTGCTGAGTCCGATTGTCGCTGCTATCGCTACCATGGAGGAAAATGGTCGGTATGCCGATTTAGACACACCGCATCCATATGCCATCGAGGTGTAGTCTGTGGTGTAACTACAGTGTGCTGCGACTATCTGGACTGTTGTTGCGCACTGTTGTCGTGTATAATCGTGTGTACGTGAATAGTTTCATATGTATTCAAAAAAGTGCATGCACGGGATAAGTAAACGGGATAACGGTGATCTAGTAATGAATAGTCAGGAGGACTCTCGAGAATATAAAGTAATAACGCCGCACGTTTCCTTCCTTCGCTCTCGTTGCGAATGGAAATCGCGTCGCGATCACTCAGTCGCCAATTTCGCATGCAACTATCTTGTTCAACTTCAAATATCTCATTCGAACACTTGTTATGTTGAAAATTCGACTATAATTTGCAGAATGTTAATAATATCCCATAATTTCTTCTCTTTGACAGTCAGAGAAAGGCTCTCTGCGCAAAGGACAGCGCTCTTTCATATCTATGTAATTCTGTGCTTGCAATATCGTCTTTTCTTCAACTTACGTCGTCAGTCGTAAATATCGTAATTTTATACCTTCTTATCGTCTAGCTGGCCACCACTGACGCCCGATAACCGCTCCTATTACAGAAATATGCGACATTGCAAGATTATTCCGTTCCTCAGGATTGAAGCCCGCACGGCTTCAAACGCTTCTGATCGTTCAATTTCTGGCGATCACAATGTACGAACAGAAATATACTAACGGCTGGCAATAAATCAACACTGGCGATGAGTAACTTTCGTTAAAAGCAGCCCACTTCAATATAGAGGTCGGACTCAAAATACTCGCTTTACGATCAACTCTAACTATATGTTGTCTTACCTGTACATATACATACTTCTGAGATGTATCTCTTTGTATATCAAGGTCGTATTGCAAGCGCAAGCAACAAATATACAAATTTCGCCACAGATTTTTATACTATATAGACATTATATTCTGAGAGAAATTCGTACTTCATATATAGAGAGAATTATTCATATATATAATATATATACATATATATGTATCTTTTACTAGACTGTAATTGCTACATCAGTGAGACTGGAGTAACCGATGTCATTGTGATTTGACGAGCGGAAGGACGAGCATCCTCGTGCGATAAACTCGCTCCCTTCCAAACCAGAATAGACATCGATCGATCTAGTTACAGGACATCGATACATTTCTCTTTTTCTTTCAGGCTAAGGGGGTATAGAATGGTTCTAAGGACGGAGTCTCTAAAGGACAAGGAACGTGTTCTCATGTATATGTATCTGTGATTGACGAAGTCTCAACTATACTTGGCGTAAAATGTATAATACGAATGTAGCGATGTACAGTGTACTGTGTAGCGTATGAATGCAGCACGAAGCTAAAGAGATACACAAGGACTGTAGGGTAATTCCGATCGGTCGGTAATTTTACCTGCCATATAGCTTGTCACACGGTTACACGCCGAAATCTAAGTAAGCAGCAAAAGGGTTAAACGAAAGGTAATGCTCAAAGGTAAATACACATCAAGCAACACTGCCGCGACAATTAAGGCCGCTATTCTGGTAGTAGATGCGTGTCCCGACGAAAAACGCGTCCGGACGAGGCTCTCGCTTCCGACGCGAGTGGAATCGATCCGGAACGACACTCCTTCGTCTCTGAACAATCTCGAAAATCTTTAGGGAAAAGTTTCATATGCGAAACACCGATTCACGGAGAACAGGGTTTCTTTGGATTTGGTGTTTGAATGCTCATTCATCACATAAAAATGTAACGGGGAAATAAAAATGACTTCGGGTCAAATAGATCTGAAGACTACAGGATTAATATTCTTCTAACATAGTGTTACATCTTTCAAATAATTTAGTAAAGATATTTATTATTTGAGAAACTAAACAATTCTGTTTATCGAATCAAATATTAATTTGTTCGCTTCATTCCAAATTTGTTTCAATTAAAGAAATTTTATGAAATCCAAAGAAATCTTTTCCTCTGTATACAGTTTGCAAAATGAAACGCGGATGCGACGTATCGGATTAGTCCTACCGACGTTAGGCGCGACGACCTCGTCACGATGACATTTCGTCAAAAGGAACAACTATCGTAATCACAGCCTAGCCTCGGCTTTCCTGAGGTCTCCGATTACAATGTGCATATATAAATATACCTGGAAGAGTTCTATTACGGGTTCAATAGCTAGAGCGCAATTAAACACTTATACTCTTTTGCTGCACTACTTTTCGGTGCTCTACGTACCCCGAACTCGATCACAAGGGCGTCCACGATGCTACCGATCACCGTGATGAGATCGAAGATGTTCCAGTAGTCCTTGAAGAAGTTCTGCTCGCGGGAACAGTCGAAAGAATCGATTAGTGATCGTGATCTTTCGTCGCTAATGGGTTATATATATATATATATAAATTTTTTTTCTTTTCGACTCTACTACCCGAAAGCTCGTTAAACAGCCCCGATCTCATCGCTACGATGTAGATGAGAGAATTCTAATTATCTGTCAACCACGACTTCGTACCCGATCAACCGGAATTAAAGCCAAGACACTATGAAGAATAAGAATCGAAGGGCGAATTAAGAGAAGAGATCGCGAGATAAAATGTGCAAGTGAGAAGGCAAGTACGATCATATGAAACGCGCAAATAAAACGATTAAATTTAACGATTAATTTTAAGATATCGCGCTCTCCGTTGCAAATTTGTAATAAGCGATGAAAAAAGAATATAGATGGCTAAATAATCTCCAAATGGTACTCTTCGAAAGACGCTTCGATAACATCTCAGGAACGGTTCTTCGAAATTTTCTTTTTCCATCGCGGATAATTAACATATCGTCGCGTCGCTTACCTGGGTTGACGCTGTTTCAGTCGGGCTCGCGCTGTAATTGCTTTGGAAATGAAAGAGATAAAAGGGAGATATGTCGAAATGTGGAATATACATTCCTAAATGTATTCAACGACAGTGCGATCGAGCAAGCAACTTGTTATTGTCTCGTGAATTTTCGAATAACCTTCTTATTCCTCATGTCGTGTCTTGTCTTGCTCGAGTTTTCGCGAGCGAGCAGACAATCCGGAAGGATAGTTCGCGTGTCCCGGTGATCTGTTGAACGAACTTGGGTATAGTGTGAGATGTTTTGAGTGACTATCACTAAAGAAGAAACTACAAGTCCGAGTTCGAGAGACAAGAAAGATACGGTATGCTTTCTCTCTATGAATGTTACGCTATTGAGTGTATGTGTGCGTGTGTGTATAGATGTGTGTGTTTGTTTACTTGTGTGTCATGTGCGTGTCAGTGTTAGTCGGTGAGCACTCCCATGTGGACTTAATTATCGAAATTCTGTAATGTGTGCTTCTCTGAACGATGCTTCTGAATGTTGTCATGATTTCGTCGGCCAGATCTCTTCGTTGTGAAATAATCAGCGTGAATTTTCAAAGGATATCCTTGCGATTTAATTAACATCAGCCGAAACTCAATATTCTGTCTCGTTAAACTTTAATTTATCATCTCCGTAAAATGTAGACAATTATTACAATCACTGAAACCGATTAAACTGTTTGTAAGAAAAGCAGCGAAATGTGGCAAATTATATTTCTCTCTCAGTATATACAAATTTATGATTTATGATGAATTTAATATTCTGCTAATTCAACTAATTGATATTTTTCACATTATTTTCATTTTGTAGAACGAAATTTTGTCGTCTTCTTTTTCTCGCGATATAAAAATGTTTACAATAAAAGTCAAAACATTTATAGCAGATCAACGAAGAGGTCGGCACGCGAGAGTTTTCTTTAAAGCGTTTACCCACGTAGTACGCTTTGGTGATCGATGATCGGCTGAAGTATAAGTGACGGGATCTCTTCTAGAGAAATATCTACGGGAGCATGCCGGTAATAGCAAGCAAACTAGAGAGAGAGAGAGAGGTAGAGACACGCGCGAACTTGCATTTCTATATATTTCTATATATATTTTTTAACTTCTCTACACACACCAGAAAAGAAGAACTGTGTCATAAACAACAGAAGTGATGTTGTCATAAATAATAATAGAGCGCGACTATATAAATTAATAATTTAATTTCTACAGTTTATAAATTTGTCATTAAATTTGTTTACAAACAGAAAAATCACTGAAAAAAAATTTATTTTGAAAAAATCTCATTGAAATTAATCGGAAATCAAACTTCTAATGTCTATCCATCCTTTCGATCTGCAAAAGTATCCTAATTCGTAACGTTGTTTCTGAAAATCTTTTGATTATCGGTATTGTAACAGTTTACGAAAAAAATATAGCGAAATAAGAGCGTAATATTATTTCAGTTTGTCTGATGACAAAGTCCTGTTTTCTGGTAAAACTATCACATCTCAAACAGTTATACAGAGTTCTTAAAGAGAATCTTGCGCTACAAGTTAATCGCAAATGCATCTTTCATTCGGTGATTAGTTTCGCGGTGTCTCATTGCACTCCTTCCTGCGGTTCCTCTCGCCAGTTTTCGGGATCTCCACTTTCTTCACGTGAATCCGTCCGACCGCAAAAAATCACGATCAATGATGACCGAGATGAGTCGTGTCAGTCGGCGGAGTTACGGTGGTATTATAATTGGCAGAGTGTGAGTCAAGTGAGAGTGGAGTTTAGAGCGATTAAGAGGCTTGTTTATACCTTGTATCCGAAGGCGATGACTTTAAGGATGCACTCAATGAGGAAAAGTAGTGTCACGATCAAGTTCACGATGGTCAAGAAGTCCAAAAAAAGTGGCGGCGCCTCGTGATACTACAAAATACACCCAACACACAGACGTAACACAACCCAGATTCTATATTCCGTTGTGTGCGCCCTGCATATTACATTTATCTTTCCTCATTCGCTTACGAATATTAGTAAGTCTCTCTCTATTCGAACGCTTTCTCTTCGTCTACCTCGCGTCTGAGTAGAACATTGCTATTCGGAGAAACTTTCTCTCTTGCAAAATAAAACGGTCATTTGTTAAAAAAAAAAAAAAAAAAAAAAAAAAANGGAAGACAAGCTTCTCGATATATTTCGCTCCGCCTGTTCATCTTTCGGATTATTTTATGAAATGGCAGAATTGTCTTCATATATTGTCTTTACATTATTACATTGTACAATAATAAATAATAAAATTCATCCTCTGAACACGATTCGTTATTTTATCATTCTCATCGTATCGCGGGATATGTTAATTTCTATACTTCGTATACTTTCTAAATGTATACTTTCGACGCGATTAATATTACCGTCATTCGCCGCAAAAATAACGACATCATCAAACCAATCTCATTAAGCGACCAGCCTAGGATCCCCCTATTTTTCTTTAAACAAGGCAATGTGTCCTCTCCCAGATTACCAAGCAAATCTAACCAATCTCTCACAGGATGATTTCTCAAGAGACTCGTCGGCTACGTGTGTACGTAACTCTCTCGATCGGTGTGTACGTAGAACGATATTCAATTCGTGTGTGCTGAGTGTGTGCTCGTGTGAGGCAGAAACGAATATTTATGCTCTTTCCCACAAAACAACGACATGCGTGCGACGACGAGCCAGGAGCGCTCGCGGCTCTCCTCGGCTTTCGTCTTTTCATGATCACTGCGGATCATATCGTCAAATTGTCATCGTCGTCACCATTTTATCATCATTATCGTTGTCATTATCATCATCATTATCATCATCATTATCATTGTCATCATTATCATCGTCGTCGTCATTATCATCATTATTACCACCACCACCACCACCACCACCACCACTGTCATCGCCACCCACCGTCATTCCAGGCCCACAACACGCAGTCATAGTAATCGTGATGTACGCATGCGAGGATCAAAAACATGTCACCGTGCAGTGATTGCGTGCGGATGCATATTAAGGCGGGCAAGGCATGCAGAGGGATGTCAAGATAACGGAGCTTCCTGGGTTACTTTCTGTACACCTTTCCGGTACACACACGAGACTTCCTCTTGGGTTTATCCCCCGCCTGTTCTGGGTTCTCGGTTAGAAAGTAGTATTCGGAAACCAAAAACCGACGAGCGAAAACGGAGCACACAGGAGGGCAGAAAAATAGAATGAGAGAAAGAGAAGAGTGTAAGAGGAAGAGATAGATAGATAGAGAAGAGAAGAGATGAGAAAAGAAGAAAGAGAGCTGGAGAGAGAGAGAGAGAGAGAGAGAGAGAGAGACAGACAGAAAGAGACAGACGAACTAAAAATAACCTAATGTGAGAGTTATGTTATGTACGTACTATACGTCGAGTTACGTTTTTTATGAGTGCCATTTTTATGGTGTGTGATGTATTATGAATCTTCATATCAGAGTGTCATTTGTGAGTATAGTTGTATGTGTATGTGTAGATTAACTGCATCCCGATTAAAACTCTAAGAGCGTGCTTATCAGAGATAGATCGCAAGCTTCGCAATTGAAAAAAGAAAGATCTCGCGCGTCATCTCAGCGGTGAAGTTACATATCTCTTCCACGACGCTCGTGCAATTTTTTGCAACGAGAGGTTTTAGGTCAACAAGACTCCCTGAAATCGCACGAATTTCGCACGTTCTAATAATTGCCGATTAAAGTAAAATATTTGTTCTTTCATGGACAAGTTTGCTCCAGAGTCATCGGTACCATGATCGAATATTCGGTAAGTGTCTATATTTTGCGAATATTCGACCGCAGTCTGATTTTTTTTTTTTTTTAGTATTTTGTATGAAGTCAATGTGATTATATTATCATGATAACGAGATAAAATAGAAATAGATCGACCTTATAAATGTAAATCAACAGTGTTTGTGAAAATAAGAAATGCTGAACTCGCATTTAGTTATTCAATCCCGTTATCATCGTGTTCGGTGTGATTACGTATATAGGAAACCTGGGAAAATATTTGCATGTTATCTAATTCCGAGTTATTCCGCTTACAAATTTCCATATCGAGCAAATGGCGCATTTGTAAATTTTAAAGACCTTTTCTAAGGCCGACATAATAATAACTTTGAATTTGTAGCGCTGCGATAAATACAATGTTAAAAATCCGTCATCTAAAAATATCATTTTTGTTGAAATGTAATCGTACATCAAGAGAAATCAATTCTAAAGTCAGACTGGATATAAAAGGGAGAATCTTTCAATTTTCTTGCGTCCCGAATCTTCCCAGATCGCCCTGAAGCTCGATCACGTGTACAGAGCTGAGCATTTTCTGCATACTAAAGTACTTGTAGAGTTTATTTTGCGGGGCTCTTAGGTCCCAAGGATACAACGACAAGTACGAGAGTATTAAGGAAGAAAAGAGTTTCTATCTAAATATCTTGCAGAACTATTTCGTGCATAAGAGCACCATCGAGAGAAAGATAATACAATTCTAATTCTATCGAGATACGTATCTATATGTTTGTACGAGGTATATATATATATATATCGAAATGGAAACGCTACAACTACTCCGACAGCATCTAGCGCTTGTTCAGCCCTGCGCACAGAAAGTTCACTAAATAGTATATTCTATATATTTGTACACGCGCGATATATAGAAAGTATACGAATGTCTCCGGAGTACCGAGTGTCCGATACGTCACTGCTATCGGTACTCGCCGAGAGAAACGCTCTAATTACTTTCTAATAAGCGGCACTTACCCGGGCGACGCAAAAATTGACCCCCGTGACGCTCCCTCGTGCTCGATTGCCGTCTCGTGGACAATCGTCGTTGATGTAATCGTACAAAGAGAAAATGGTAAAAATCATTACGGTAATCTATTGCCTTCGCGTCGTGTCGTTGAAAAAGAATTCGTCCGATAAACAATGAAGAGACAATTTCGCGATAGCGATGAAAAGAATATATCGATATGACTGATGTAAGCACGATTGGTGGCTGTCGATTTTAATGAATGGTGTATCTATGACGGTCGCTAATTCATTACTTCGACGACGAAAATATAAACGGGTTTTCGCTACGGTCTTCCGATTTCGGGGGCGGTCACGAGGGGCCACTTTTCGCGCTACTCTACCTAGCGAGTCTCGAATTAAATCTCGCTTTACACTCGGAGTAATTCTGAGAGTTCGGTGAGAGGGGTGTTGGCATATGTGGAGCTTACCCTCACGCCGAATGCGGCGATCTTCAGTATGCACTCGACAGTGAACATCCCCGTGAAGCACATGTTCATGTACTTCAGCGTGTTCTTGTACTGGTCGCTTTGCCGATGGAACTGCAATGCATACACTGACAAACACACGGCCGACAGACAGACATACGTGTACGTACAGGCTTATAAAAGAGCGCGTATCTCGTCGACGAGAAACGTTTTCGTTTCTTTTCTACTCTTTGCTCAAAACGGCCCTCTCTTCCCTCCCCCGGACCGTCGCGTCGAGGAGAAGCAAGAAGTGGCTCTGTTGCTTTCTTTTTCCACGCCGAAACTCTGTGCACCGATACATGAGCCGTGTCGCGACAGGTACGGTGAAATCGGACAACTCTTGCGTCAGCGGAAAGTTAAAATCACATCAGTAGGGGAAAGATGCGATTTGGTATCGTTTGCATCGGCGAATTTAGTCGACAAAGTTTTCCTCGCTACTTTCCCTTCAATTCAACATCAGTCTTATGTATTGTAATACGGACATCGTGAGGGGGAAAAGAAAAGAAACTAGAAACGTAAAAAACTTTACATAATTTCTTTTTAATCCCGACGCGGAATTTTTATCCCTGCTGAAGCAACGTGTCACCCTTCTTTTACGGTGCATTGTTCGCACGACCATAAAAATTTCACCAAGTGAAAAATAATAGAAAAAAACATGAACGCGAGGCCGAAACTTCTTCTCAAATAATGAGAAAGTTGAGTGGATAATAAAAGATAAAAAAAAAACAATAATAATTAAATTGTTGAGCACATGAAAGAACGACCGAGTCAGCTTCGTGTCACGAATTGGTACACAGTTTTATATGGCATGTGGAAAGTAAAGTGCAAGGTATACGAAATTACATATGCATATACGTAAACGTAAGTGAGATCATACGCCATCTTATATCCGAAAAAATGTGGGGGGAAGGACATTAATATATATATATATCGCCTTATATACGTGTATGAACCTATTTCGGTGTGTTATGTACGAGTACAGTTAATATAAAAAATGTTTGTTCTTTTATGTGTAAATATATAATAGACCGTTATTTCATCGAGTGTGGTGCGACAATGTGCACGTGGAATACACTGGTGACCAGTTACCTGCGCCTCGCAGTGTATGATAGGTCTCTTTAATCGACTTGTTCGGTCCTACGAGACATCGGACGTGTACAGCTCGGTAACAGCTGGTGATAAATTGGCCTTCTGGGTTAATGGACTGTATACCGGGAGGTTTCCCGAACGGTGAACTCCGCTGGACGCGACGACGGGAGGATCGCTCGAAAGCGAGGACATGCTCCTGCTCGTTTTCCGAATCTTTCCGAATAGAGTCTATCGATTGAAAATGGAGTCTTTGGAAATGAGACTCTTCTCTCATTTAAATTTTAGATTATTGCGAAAACCTTGCAATATCGATGGAATATTTTAATCTAGTTATCTGACAAAACGTTCGAGATGAAGACAGCATTGAATAGATGATTCGGAACAGACGTTGAATTTAATTTTACTAATAAGAAAATTATCACACAATGTGAAATATATTGTTATAATATCGATTGAATTTGATCTCTCGAAAGACTAACCGCCACTTCGCGCGATCCTCTACATGGTTCAAACTAAATCCCCCCTCCTGCCGTCGCTTCCCATGGAATTCGAGG